TGTAAAGTACCTTTAAAGTAGTTTGACCATTTTTTATGGAACACCTTTCTTTAAAGCAAGCTAGACTGAGGGGGTATGTTCTCTACAAAAAACCAATCTCTAGCTAAGATGGGGTGATACACAGGTATATGATTCTGTATCAGTCAGGTTTCTATCAGAAAAGCAGAACCTTTGCAGGTGACACAGAACCAGGATTCATTATAGGCAACAGGAAGAAACTTCTGGAAGACCACTGAGTCTAGGTCTGGCAGGCCTGACAGGTAGGAGGAAAACAGGCCTTGAAGTTAAGGAGAGCAAGGACAGATGCAGACCGAGGGACAACCTGGAGCCCACGAAGACAAAGAAACTGTCTGTCTCTTTTTCCCTTCAACTTTGATGATGCAGGCAACCTGTGGAAGAAGCCGGCACCCGTTGTCACAGGACTGCACATGCCCCCACCTGACCTGGAACAAAGGGACAAGGGGAGGGCAGGTCAGGGATGTATGCTGGCTTCACTGTTCCTGGCACCCCATGCTACCCTGCAGCAGACCAATCACTTTTTGACTTCCTCTTTCCACATCGCACACAACTTTCTCTTGTGGCACCTTTAACCTGAAACCCCACAGGAAGGGAATTCTGGGAAGCACAGATTCAGCGTGGCTAAGTTGACGTGGTACAAAGTCACTAGAGAGCTTGTCCCTGCTGGTAAGGAAGAGAAAAGGACTAAAGGAAGCTAATATTTATTGAGTATATTTTGGAGCAGGTTCTGTCCTAAATACTTAACCTATTGATAATTTAGGGAGCTGGCTAGACAGTGTGTCAGGAAGCAGTGGAGTAGGGTGAGGCTGACGTGGCCACTTTACGTCCAGCTGCTGGTCATTGCAGCCGGGAGAGAAGCCCCAAATTTCAAGGTGAGACTCATTAAGCCCTGAGATGCTCTGCCAAGGTGTGGGTTAACTCGGGGTCCACCGGACACCAGAAGAGGCAGAAGCTGTGAACTGCTGTGGCCTTAACAGACTACAGAGATTTATTATAATATTTGTAAATGACTTGAAAATAATGTGTCATTGTTCAAGAATTGTTCCATCATTTTTGTTGACTGATGTATAGATACCATACATAAATGTGCCTGGACAGATAATCTTTGAGGCAATCCTTTACATTTTTTTTTGCTGTATTTTTCCTTTTCCTTTACCCCCTCCTCTTAAAGGAGAGAGCAGATAACTGTGGTTTTGTTTTGTCCAAGGAGAATATTGCAGCAAGGCTGAAAGCAGAAGTTGCCTGATAAAAACATTTTCCTTTCTGTCTCTTGTGATTTGAAGTCTAAACCCATAGAAGGAGCGTGGTTTGTGGATCCCAGAGAGGGTATATGTGTGTAGATGGGGACATGGCCAACCTCACAACAGACTCTGTGATGTAGGAATTATTATCTCCAGTTTACAGATTGAACACTGAGACAGTCTGATGATGCACAGTAATGTGAGGAAACGTGCCCATGACATCTTTGAGGCATATGGGACAGATCCCTTTCTCCTGAGCTTAGCTCATCCATGGATTCTAGTCCTATGTATTTATCTAGACTTGGACTCTCACTTCTCCAGCAGAACCATGCAATGCCAGCTTCTCTTTCTCACATCCTTCTCTCCATTTCTTATTTAAATTAAAAGGTACAAAGAATAGGAAGGATCATTTTGGATAGCTTAAGTTTCATCTACATATTATGCACATGATCCAAACACAAGAATTATATTTTCTGATTCACATTCACCTTGTGGTCTGTTGGGGTGGTCAGGATTTTTTTTTCAACCTTTGCTTATAGTTGCCCTTTCTATTTTTGTCTCCTTAGATGATTGACCTTCATCTATGAACTAAGCATGGTCAGGATATAACTGACTCTAGGTAAATTGCAATAGATTCATACTGAGAAAGAATTTTTCTCGTGTCCTACTCCTTGAAACCAATTTCAGTTGATTTCCACTGAATTCAATGATATTTTTTTACTTGTCTATTCCAATATTAGACTCCACTCATTCCCCAAATATCCCTTGAGCCCTTAGTGAGTGTCAGGCACAATTCTGTGTGCTGGGGATACACATTCTCCACTGTTCTCAGCAAAACAAGGTCCTGCTCTTCTGGGCTTAAGCCTGGGCCCTTGGAGTGAATGTGATAGATTATGAACAGGGTCAAGCTGACATATAATTGGGTTAAATCTACAGAAAGCAAACATATAACTAAATGCTTCCAACTCTCCCATTGCTGTAAGGAGTGTGTGTGTGTGTGTGTGTGTGTGTGTTTCTGTGTGTATATGTTTGGAGTGGTATGGAAGGGAACAGGTGAAGTGGAAAACAAATACAGGGAGGACAGAGTGGAAATGCAGGGAGAGGTTCCTTCCATAGCTATTTTCTAAAACTAGAAATGGAGATGTGTAGTTTCTTGTTATAAATTAGGGAAGACAACAAGAAGAGGAAATGCAAGGTTAATTAAGATTCATCATAAGTGTTAAAATTGAGGTTAAGGTTTTAAAATTCAGTTCTCAATTTAAAAGAGTTAAATTATATACAAGGAAATTATGCACAAATGAAATAGAACAAATTGTTTTGTGGTCTTGGAAAAACCATTTTCTTCTTCACTGTCCCTGGGCAGTTTGTGGTTTAGAATGAAAAAGCGACTTCTCTTTTGACTCCAAGAGGATAAGAACACAGTTTCTCCAACCCCATAGCATGTGAGCTGCTATTAGTGAGGCATGCGTTTGTGTACATTAATTATAAACGTGTGTACATTAATTATAAACTAAGTATATGCTTGTCAGATTCAGATAACCTGTAGTAAGCACTTTCACCTCACTGCTCATTTAAAAAAGTTTAAAAACAGATTCAAAGCTGTTCCTCTGGTCTAAATGCTCCTCTGTTAGCCTGGGACCTGGGCATTATCCACTGTGCAGGCAGTGCCTGGCATAGAGCAGATGCTGTCAGTTTTTGGGCTGAGCTGAATGAACTGGATGTCAAAGCTGCTGTAGGTAGGTGGCAGTATGGTTCAACTCCCTGTTTTATGTGCAACCAGTTAGGAATTTTGCACCCTTCTCTTTGTGGTCTGGGGACAAGTTACTGAATCTTTCATCACCTCAACTTTCTTACCTGTAAAATGGGAAAGTGATAGCTGTGACAGTTATTGTGAGGATTAAATAAAACAACTTATGCACCTAGTACAGGGCTTGGTGCATTGCTATCAATAAGTGGTAGTTATTATTTTATCACATAGGAGCACTGACCACCAAATTCTATGTAACAATTACTATGATAGTTGAGGAGAGCTGAAGGCTCTATAAAGAAAGCTGAATTAAGTAAACATTTCACCAACTAAAAAGTTACTGACAAATTTATCATAGATTTCAAAAGATTCCTTTCTCTGACATTCTGAAAGTATGAGCTGGTCAACTTTTGGGGGCACAGGTTGAAAACTGTTACCCCTCTAATAAGCGGCACCTCTGTTAGACTCTGCCTGCAACCCTAATTTAGTATATTTTGGCAGAGGGGAATTGTCTAATTTTCATGACTGTAATAAAATTGGGTTAAATGTCCCTATGCTATAGCAGTAACCAAACCCCTATCAAACATTGTTAGGCTGCCAGATATCAATGCTAGCTAGTCCTTCTGGAGGACAAAATGCATGCTCTCTGCCTTCGGAGGAAGAGAGATGTGTTAATAGGTTCTTCAAAGAGAAACAGTCCTAACGGGAAGAATCCATCTGACCTTCCAGGATAGAGCCACTGCCCTAATAAAGGGCGGCGATCCTCCAAAGTGTGTGACCTCGTGGGGTCTGGAGGAACCCTGCGGGGCTGGCTCACTGAGGATTCACCCGCCCCACTAAGTGTCCTGCAGCCTTATTATGCATATCTGGGCTGTTGCCCGAAGGCCCGCTGCGCGTTGGGCGCACGCAGCCCGCTAGGTATCCGGTGCAATGAACACGCAGGCCGGCTCTCCGGAGACAGTCCCTAGCCCGCGTCGGCGAGCGGGCTCTTGCAGCCGGCGGTCTCTCGGCACTTGGAGTTCCCGGTCCGGCCGGCGGTGGGCGCGCGCCCCGAACCCGCTGTCGTGAACGCAGCCGGTGGGTCCCGCGGAGCCCTACGGTCCCGCGGCCTTCTGCCCCCAGCTCCATGCCTGCAGCCTGCAGAGGCCTGTGCTGTCTGTGCGTGCGGGGTCTGCCCACCCCCGCCAGCGCGGCGGCCCCCAGCGGCCTGGCCGCAAGCCTGGTCCCCGCCGCCGAGGGGGATGGGGAGGGAGGAGACGAAGAGTTGGAGACAGACACAGCCTCCGCGAGCAGTTACGGCTGGAGACAGACGGCGGCGGCGGGAGGCGGGACACTCCCCCCTCGGGCGACGGGAGGGGGGGACACCTCTCTCGGCGGCCGCTGCACGGTCTCCTCCTCCCCCCCGCGCCCGTGGGCTGCGCGCCGGGCCTGGAGGGACAGGCAGGCGAGGGCGGCTGGCCCTGCCCGCCCCGCGCGCTACCGCGGCGGGCCGGGGATCCCCTGCAAGCCGGGGAGGAGCCGCCGCCGCCGCCGCCAGACAGGCTGCGAGTCCCTGGGAAAGTGAAAGGAGGGCGGGGAGCGCGGGGGAGGCCCGTGTGTAAGGTCCCCGGCTCTTAAAGAGACCGGGCGCGCCGCCCTGCGCTCCCCGCCGGCCAGCTGCGTGCCCCCCGCCGCGGCGGCCCCGCACCCCGCGCCCCTCCCTGGCTGCCGGCAGGACCCGGTGGCCCCACGAGCTGCACTGCGGGCAGTCCCTAGCCTCCTCCTCGGAAGGGCGGCCGCAGGTGAGTGAAGATCCGAGGTGGCTGATGTGGTCGCGGCGTTTGGCCCAAGTTCAGCGCTGCGCTGAGGCCGGGGCGGGTGTGTGTGTGTGGGTGGGGGTGGGGGACACGGGGACAGGACGCTTCGGGAACAGGACGTCCGCGAGCCTGCGCCGTACGGGGCACCCTCCCCACCCTGGCGAGTGACTCGAAGACGAGTGCGCGAGGTCTGTGAGGCAGTGTCGCGGGTGGGCAAGGCGGGCATCCCCGGGCGCTCGTCCGGGGGGTGGTTGTGGGGAGGGCGACCTCTCCTTTGAGGGTGTGCTCTGTTGGAGAAACATTGTCGACTCCCACCCCCTTTATTATTTCCTGGTGCCTGGAGCGGGTTATCCTGCGGTTGCAGGACTTAATTCTGCACCGCCCGGAGGCCGGGGTGAGAGTAGGGGTGGCCGCTCAGACAGGTTTGGGTTCCCTAGGGCCTCTCGGCGAAACACTGCAGGTTGAGGGACTGGAGGTCAGAGGGAAGCGAGAAGATTGTGCAGGACCCTGCCGGGAGTTTGCGGGAAAGAAAGGGGGCGGAAGCGGGACGTACCCTGGACGCTACGTCCCGCAGCCGGGCCCCCCGCAACCCGGCGCCCCGACTCCCCGCATCCTGCGCCCAGCGCCGGCCAACTCTTCGGACCTGCCTCTCCCGGCGTCTGCCCGAGTCCCCCACACGCGTTGACGTCGGTCGCGGGGCCGCGCGTAGCTCCCGGCATTGGCTGGGAAGTCGATCGTCTCGGGCGGCTGCTGTTACACTTAGACTAGGTCTCGGAGCCTTGGAGGAAGCAGGCGTGTGTTGAATTTCTCTTTGACCCTCACGATGGAATAAACAGGAAGCCACGGGCACCCAGCCCGGGCCCAGCACTTGCCTTTGTTGTGGGGTCGGCCTGCACAGCGGTGAGGAGACTTCCCCGGGACCCCTGCCCCGTGCGCCGCCCAGGGTGGAGTTGGGGGCGCGCCCTGTGGGTACGCTGCTGGAATACAGTGGGCTCTGTTCAGGTTAATTTACTATGGTGGCGGAGAGGGCATTACTTGTTTTTAAACTTTTTTTTTTTTGGATTGGAAAAGGAGGAGGCTTTCCAATGAGGCAGAGATTTTCAGGAGGGCTACATGGACGCGTGGTGGGTGGGTGGCACCTGGAGAAGGCGCATCGGTCAGTACCCTGGTTCCCGGTGTGTTGGCAGGGCACCGCTCCGCGGCGGGTCAGGACTGCGAGAAACTCTTTAAAGCAAGTAGGGCTTCCTCGCTCCTACCCAGGCATAGGAATGCTTGCTGAGTGGCAAGGGCCACATAAACTAGCTTAATTTTTATTTTCCTCAGAGCCTTTTAATTAGCTAGAATTGTATAATTTTGATTTGCTTCTTTTCTCTTTTTGTGTGTCCCATGTATTCCCTTCTTTTTCTCTCTTCTTTCTAATTATTTTGGCAGCTTCTCATCCCTGGGTCCCCTCACTCACAGTTCAGTGCTGCTTTCTAAATGTTAATTACGATTGTGATATTTATTGATGACCTACTATGTGCTGGGTATTGTGGGATGTGAGGTGAGATAAGCTGTACAGAGTCGATTTAGAGAGCTACTGTTAGTAAGTGTCTTACAGTGGAGGTGGGTAGAGATGGTCTTGCTCTTAAATATATATGGGTCCTGTGGCTGGTATGGAGGTTGGTTCCTTCCCTCATGACTAGGGCTGAGAGGCTGCCCTTTAAAATGGCCCTTTCCTCTTGTTTGGCTAGCCAGGGAAGGTCTTCTCCCATCTGTATTGCCCCTGGAGCTTCAGGACTGAGTATTGAACTACAGGAAAGATTCTGTAGAATCTGCACTGAGAATCTGCTATTGCATCAAGTCATGTTTTGCATTTTGCATATGAGTATTTAGTCTTTTGTAGTATTTATATTGAATTTACTGTCGTCAGTACATCTGCCTTTGTATTCTGTACAGTTGTCTTGGAACATATTCTTTATGTTCAGTAAAGGATCATAATGTCAAGTTTGAGTCATCACATAGTCAAATGAGTAGATAAGAGTATTACCCATGTACATTTATTGAATTATAATATTTGATTTCCTATCAACCCTTGAATGCCTTTTTATGGCCCTTGCAAAGCACTGTTTTTTAAAATATGGAGGTAAAGTCTTAATGATCTTTGAAAGCTTAATTCTTTTAAGAGCTTCACATTACTGTCAACATTGAACACACTGTTAGGAATTAGGGCCCAGACTGTAAATGACAGCAAGGCATTATTTGTTGTAATGGAGTTGTAGCTATCTCCCTCCCTTGTTTTAAAAGAACCTTCTAATTTCTTGGCATTCTGTTGTTACCCGTGGAAGAGTATGCGCTCATTGGCCATGGTTCTAGTTCATGTAGGTTTGTATTTATGATGGAGAAGACTTTTCCCAGCAGGATTTTAGGACTGTCTCTTGAATCCTCAGGGGCTCAGTTTGCATGACCACAATCCTGCAGAGGAACATAGCCAGTGCCAGCTGCTTATTAAGGGATTTTATACCAATTCGTTGGCACATCATTTGAGATTCAAAGTCCACTCCCAAATGCACCCCACCAGAATATATACATACATAAACAAATATTTATTTTCCCCCAACTGCTGACAGTGTTCTAAGAATAGTTTTCTTGCCTGGCTCACTGAGAGCAAGGACCAGTCTGCAGAGGTGTTTACAATTTGGGACTGTGCTGTGGTCTTGGTTGACTTAGCAGCCTGTCAGAGCAGCCTTGCAGCTCATGGGACGCTGTCAATTTTTTATCTGGACCTCTGGAGGGACAAGTCCCAAACGGACAGGGGCACTTAGAGAGGTGAGAGTAGTTGCTCTCTGAGAGTAGTTACTTAGAGACCCTTAAACTCTGTCTGGATCCCTTTGCTCTCACCCAACATGCAACATGTAAAACCCAAGCACTCTCAGGGCTCAGGGTAGGGACACTTGCAGCTGTGACTGGTTAGATCTTTCTGGTAGCCCTCGCCATGTTTCTTCTCATCTTTCCTTTGAATCTAGGTTTATGGAGTCTGTATGATGTGTCTGTTATTTTGGATGAGAGTTAACAGAGAAGAAAGAAAACTCAAGGGGCGATAGCTATAAGAGAAGATTATTCCATGTTAACCTAGAAAAATTTCAGAAAATTTTAACATACTTTATATAGACACATGGCTGTTAAATATGAACAGTGGGAAAATCTCTGCGTAGTCCCATTGTCCGTTTCTCTCTTCTTCCTTCCTTCCTTCCTTCCTTCCTTCCTTCCTTCCTTCCTTCCTTCCTTCCTTCCTCCACTCTTTACTTTTTTTAAATCTCAGAAAACTTCCCTGGAAGCCACCATTTTCTGATGTCAAAGTGACTTTCTGCCTACATGGGATTTTTAGTCTAGAATTACACCTTGACCTATATTATTAGTATACATGGAAGGCGAATCTTAAATTTTAAAATAGGAATGTAAAGCTTCTGCCTTTTTGAAAATTTAGGCCACAAGACATGCCTCCTTTTAGGGAGATATTTTTTTGTGGTATTATTCACTTCGTTGTTAGGCAACTAAAGGAAACAGCCAAGCACCTATACTATTAATTGCTATAGAAATATCAGGTTCATATTGCCAATTAATGTTGTTTTCTTCCTCTATCATAGGAGGACTTGAAAATAATGTCTGTGTTGTGTAATATCCATGTGATTTAAGTATGGATTGTTTTTCTTTGAATTCCCACTAAAAATGGTACTTTGGCCTTTTCATCTGTTTTTGTGAGGACTTTTCTTTCCACCAAGCTTGTTTTCCGGATAGGTCTTGGAAATTAAGAAGAACATAATTATAATTTCTCCCTTGATTGGCAGCTGAGAGCTTTCCTGGACAAAAATAAGGCTACACAGTGCCAAATGGTTGACTTTTCTAGAGTAAAAACTCTAAAGGGTATGCAAAAAGCCCTCTGGTTAATATATTGGCATTCCCAGAACCCACTAAAACCCCGGCAGCCTGCCAGACACCACTTAATGAGGATGCAGAATGTCTGGCTCAAATCCCCATGAGCAGAAGGGGGTGGGGAGCTGATGTCCACACCCTTTATTAATTTTTAATGGCTGTACTTTTATTTTGCAAATTTTGCTCTGTACCCCCCCTTAAGACTGACTCCCACCACGACACCCCCTCCCCCATCCATTTATTTACTCATTTACTTGGCATTGGAAAAATGTTGATACTTTCAAGGTTAAGAACCCTGCTGAGGGATCATTTCTGTTTGCATGGGTTCTTTTGTTAATTGATTTTCTTTCTTTTTCTTCCTTTTTTTTTTTTTGGAGGAGGAAGAGAGAAAAGGAAAAGAAAAGGAGATAACTTTTTTTTTATGATGCTTCATTGTCTGCTGGAAAAGAGAAGCATTTACGAAACTTTAAGTTTGTCAGACAGTTTATATGACAGTACAAGTTGGTGCTTGCCAAACTCCAGACAGATTGCTAATGTTACATGACAGGGATAAATAAATTACCGCTGTCTGCAACACGCTTGCACTGCAAACACACTTTGCAGCCGGCGGCCGGGCGCTGCACACCCAGAGATCCTGTTGGCTGTGCAGCTGGGGGAAGGCCTCTGCCTACTGCCTACAATTCTCTGACTTGGTTTGGAAACGAAAAGGGTGTGTTTCTCACTTTTATTTTTGGCAGAGCTGCAGGGCAGCAGAATCCATGTAGCTGCTCTGTGTCCTTAGTTTTGCTGGCTGCTCTGCCCCCTTGCCCTGTTCCTCATCCCTCCTCCCCCCACCCCCTTTTCCTCTTCATCAGGAGACATGGCACCTAGGCTTCCTCTCAGGGATCTGCCCCGAGAAAACTAAACTTTGTTCTTAGCTGCTCAGGCCCTCAGGTTTCTCAGAGCCAAGTTTCAAGCTGTTTACGGTTGTGTTCTTTCTGCAGGTGCAGACACTGAGAACAAATTGTCTGAGATAAATGTGTGTGCTGCCCTGGGAGGGGGCTGGGTGGCACTCCTTGGGCATAATGCACTTTCATCTCTGGCAATTTGGATAGTCAGCTGGCAGAGTGGCAGGTGTAATGAACTTAATGGTCTTGTTCTAGTTGTTAGTGGACACACTGCTCATATTACAAAGCCACCTCCTAAATTGGGCCCCTGCCAAATGACTTGTTCTTCTCTTTGCAGACAGGATGCAGGGCCTGGACTGCTCGAGACGTTAAGATCAGGAATTGGGTGGGTGTGAGCGACATCTGTGTGCCCTCATCCACACGATCCCTAAATGGACCTAAAATTTCTTTTCAAAGTAAGACTGTTCCATCCAGTTTGCAAAAAAGATCCATCCCGTCCGTCCACTCCTAGCCAGCTGTCCTTCCACGTGAGATGTGGCAGGGACCTTCTGTGTAAGTGCGTGGACTCCTCGCCTCTTGGGTTTGCAGAATGGCAGGCTTCCTACCATGCCTTGTTGGTTCCTGTGCAGGGCCACTATGCTTCAGAAAGGGCCCCTGGGGGCTGGTGGAGGCATGGGCAGGCGTCGTTTGCAATGTCAGTGGCCCCACAGGTGGTAACGTCTGCACAGAACTGGGGAGGGAATTTCCATAGTAAACTCTGACTGCTTCCCACAGGCAGAGCAAGAGCGGAGACCCCATGGCTTGAGTCAAGGCTGCTTTCAGAAGGGATCCCGGACCTCTTGCCAGAGCCCTCCTTCACCAGGGCACTTGGTCAGAGAATAGTAGGAGCAGTTCCAAACACGTGCATATCACCATGTGCCAGGCTGTCCTTAGGGCTGCTTGCACATTAACTGATTTAATCCTCACAGCAGCCGTATGACATAGGTACTGCTACCATCCCTAGCTTTCAGGCAGGCAACAGAAAGCCCTGAAATTGCCCAAAGTCTTGTAAATAAAGGGTGGAGTCTGATGCAGCCCAAGCAGTCTCTCCCAGGAAGTCCG